CGAAACCATTCGAATGCCGTTCGTATACGAAATAAGGCGAAATTCGCATGAAAATTGAATTTCCGTATTTTCGAATCGCTTTCGAATTTAGAGGCGTCCCGGTCGCATCTAAACATTCCGGTATAGGATTCAGCACCTAGGCATATTTCATTGGTCCGTTTGAATTCGGACCGCCAATTAATGCGGAGTGCCGAAATCCGTACTCGAATGTTGAACGGTGCTGAGCCTCAGGTCGGAATGGTATATACATAAACTATGTGGAGTGCCGAATCAAAGGTCAAAATGTTAAACAGTGCCCAGCTGCAGGTTGGAATGTTACTCCGTTAGCGCGGCACAAAATCAACAAACAAACTTTATTTACTTTTTGTTACACATCTATTTTATTTCAACGATACATTTCAAAAAATCTTGGACAATAATTTGCAGTGGCGGATCCAGGGGGGGGGGGGGGGGTTATAAAAACCTGAATCCTGGCAAATTAGAATAGAAAATTTCGAAAATAAATACCCTAATTTATCTATATTTTTTTTTTGTATCTGTGGTGCTTAGTTTAATTAAGATATCAATTGAAGCCAGGCAACAGCAGTTTTTGGATTTTCCTTTCTTATTATTTCTTTGATCCACTTTTTTATAAGCACTATGATGGCATACAAAAACATATCTAAAAAATGTATTTTCCAAAGTCTATTCGCATCCAAGAAGATTCTACGTCATTGAATTGACATTGAACACAAACCTGCATTTGAATTCGTTATTAGCTATTTATACAATAAGTTACGAAATGAGCGTCTTTTAGGCACGCGACGTGAAAATTGTCCAACGAGGCAAAGCCGAGTTGGACAACACGTCGAGTGACTAAAAGACATCGTTTCGTAACGTATTGTATACAAGATTTTTTCTACTGGCATTTTATAATAAAAAAACACAATTTTATTTCATGTGAATAAGTCGATTACACCCAAAATCTTTGTTACCTGCTTTTACTTGACACCTGACACTTTTCATGCGATTTTCTTTTCAAAATTCGACATCAATAATTAAAATCCTAGAAAGTAGGTAATAACACAAACTTCCGTTTTGAGTAACCCAAACGTTCAATTCAGTAATTCCATTTTCAATATTCATAATAAATGCAAAACAAAATTCAAATCTGTGTTCAGTGTGTTTTTTATTTCTGAATAATGGATGACACTTTTAGGCACTAGTGCTTAAAAATTACTTTTACGCACTCATAAGTCACTTTTACGCATTCAAAAGTCACTTTTACGCACTGAGTGCCTAAAAGTAACTTTCACGCACTCAGTGCCTAAAAGAATGTCGTTTCAAAACTGAAATGACAATCGAAAAGTTGCTATTATGAAACGTCAGTAGAAAAAATTATTTTTTCTCCAAACGTCAAAAAAACATCACTTTGTCAACACCTGTCAAGATGGTAGAAATTCAATTTCTATGTTGCTAGGCAAATCCAGGAGGTTAACACCTGTCGAGGTGGTAGAAATTTAATTTCTATGCTGCTTGGCAACCCCAGCGGCAGCAAAAGTACTTTTGGTGCCGCTGGAGCGGCAGTAAAAGTACTTTTAGTGCCGCTTGTACTTTTACTGCCGCTCAACCATCCAGTTACCCCCGAGCTTACCACATTCGTTTGGAGAAAAAATAGCGTGTTGCATACGGAGTAGAAGCACTTTTTTGTGCTTCAGCAGTATTGCAAGCCTCACTACGTTCGGCTCGCAAAAAAGTAAAGCTTCTACTCCTAATACAACAATATACTATTTCGCTGACTTCACATTCCAATTCGTGTATGTTATATCACTATACTCTTCTATCCATTACTTTATATCGTTTTCCTCCAAAATGTTGGCTCGGTAAATTTGCTCACCACTCTGAAAGTGTTTAAATGATCTAGGCAAACTCATCTTGCATGTTTAAGCACAAGAACACACGAAGCAACGGCGAAATAAACCGCATCCGCCGCAAAATTGTAACTAAGAGGAACACGAAGGAGATGGACAGCTGATTTAATATAAAAACCGCGCCAAACGCATGGCAACATTCGGACCTGATACTCAGCACTGTTTAACATTTTGACCTTAGATTCGGCACTCCACATGGCTGTTGCTAATGGACCATTCTGCCCTGAGGCTCAGCACCGTTCAACATTCAAGTACCGATTTCGGCACTCCGCATCAATTGGCGGTCCGAATTCAAACGGACCAATTAAATATGCCCAGGTGCCGAATCCTATACCGGAATGTTTAGATGCGTCCCGGTCTGCGCGTCTAGTCCTCTGTTTCGGCCCGCCTGTTTACTGATAGTTTGTTGTGTTTTAATTAATACCTTATGGGTTCTGTATAGTGAAATGTTATTTTATTGAAAAATAGATCAATCAAAACAATTTTTAGAGATATATGGCATTTTTTATTGTCTCTTGTGGAGAAACAAATGTATGTACATTGCTACATTGTTTTTATTAATATAATATGTACCATCGTCACCAAAAGTAACTGGGACAGCATCATATCAGCTCTTGTACTATTACATGAATTTTAGTGTCAAATATTTGTCAAACTATGTATTAATAAATGCATTGAAATGAATGACGGTTGAATTAGTCCAGGAGATTAATATGAATTATTTTTGTCTCAGATACTTTTGGTGACGATGGTACCTATAAGATTTTAAATAGACATCCATCAGAAAAATTGAAAACAACGTACCTATTTGATGACTATTATTAGATACATCAAATACGTTGTTTTCAATTTTTTATGATTGATGTCCATTTAAATCCTTCATATTCATATTTAAAAGTAACAAGAGGTTGGGCACAAAATGGCGGCGGGACCTCCATTTTGTCGCCACTATATGTAAAGGTTTAATTTAGTCACTGTACAGGGTAATTTTTTTATATTTTCCCACCCCCCTTAACTTTTTTGTGCCACCGTGTATAAAAAAAATGTAAATAGGAAAGGTGTAGTGCTTGAAACATAGTTTTGTTCATACAGGGTGTTACAAAAATATAAAACAAAAAAAAAATATATTTTTTTAATTGGGACACCCTGTATATTTTGACAGTTCTGGATTCTGCGGAAAATTCTAGACATAATCCATGTATAATGTCATATACCTATCTTCAACTGTTTCGGACATAAGCGGGACCTGACAGTAGAAAATTGACTTTTTTGCAACTTTGAGAGGCTGTAAAACCTAAACTCTCAATTTTTTAGCAAAACCGATTTTACATTCCTATCTTAGATTTTCATAAGCTATCATTTTGACACCAACTTTGAATTCAACTTTTCGGTCAAAAAACCCGAGAAATTGAAATTGACCACTAAAAAAAAAGATGCCCATTTTTTTTCCAGAACATAAAATTTGAAATCCAGAAGAGGAACATAATATTCAGAAATGGAAATTTGTTATTCAGAATAGGAATGTGTATTTTAAAAAGGGAAATTTATTTCAGAAAATATAAATTGTTATTCAAATAGGAAAAATGTAGGTAATTCAGAATCAGTAGGTACAAATAGTATCTATGAGCAAAGTCTCTATATCCTCGAAGATAATATAGACTTTGCTATGAGTGCTTTTTTTTTAAAAATTATCTGATCACCACCTCTTGCTTTTCCTAAACAACTGCAGCGGCAATTCAAAACAAAAAATGACATTTATGTAAAAAACTATAAGACAATACTTAGTTGACAAAACTTGGGTGGTCCAAACTCAAAAGGTGCTTTGAAGATCTGAAAATATTTTAGGAGACGCCGGAACGATGAGGATTATGGCTACAAACCAAATTTTAAGTTTCTAATCCCCCTGCAAGTTCAAATAAAACTTCCAATGTACGGGCTACGTTAATCACCCTGTATACAATTGAATCATGTAAAATTGAAAAATTTTGAAATTAAAATCTACAAACTTTAATAGGGTACATAATATATTAGGTACCTATTATTTCAAAATATGTATTGAGTAAAATACAATAAGCGATAAAAAAAAACGAATTAATTTTTATGGCGAAATTCGATATTTAAATTTCTATCAAACAGCGATTGTCTTGCGAGTTGTGATGCAAGTACCTATGTGAAATATGAAGTCCATTGGGGGAGGGTTGCTGGCTTCAGGGTCACTTTTGTCTTATTTTATGCTTTATTCTATCGTTCTGCTTTGGGGTAAGTTTATAGTTAATAATAACTTGATACCTATTAGCGGGCTTGCAAATAAGAGAGACAACTCTTCCAAAATTAATTTACCTTTATTCTAGACAATAACACAAAAATTACTACAAAACTATCATTACCCATAATAAGACTTCATTTAACTACAATAAATTCGCAAAACTGAATCACAAATTCACAGTCAATATGTCTCACTATCAACTTGTGATTCATTAAATAATAATCCAAGTATTAATTTGTTTGACTCTTCCCTTGGTGATCGACACCGTTTTATACCGTGTCGTTGCTTCTAGAATTGTCTAGATGTTTTTCTTCTGTTCGTTTCGAATTCGCTATTCTATTACTCGGTAAAATTCCATGCGCAAATTTTCTAGTCAGCTTTGCAAGATTGTTCACAATTTCCCTAACTTTGAAGAGATTTATAACAATGCAAATAGCTTTTTTGAATAAGTAATGAAATTGAATCTCTGTTTCCAAAATGTGGAAAGACCAATTTTTTTTGTCAGCTGTTTTCCTGAAATTCTTTGATAGGCCATAATTTTTTTGGTTTTTCTTGAATATTCGCTTTAGTTACTTTTTCTTTGTGACTTTTCCATATTTTCCAAAATACCATCAACAAAGTTGTTGTTTCTGAGGTCCCATTTGATTATTGTCTTTTTTTGGTACCTACCTACTCCACTTAACTTTTCAGTTTCTCCAAAGATTCTTCAGCTTTTGTGGGTTTATCATTTCGATTTTCAGTGTTTTTCCAAATCTTCAAGATAACTGAAACATAATGAAGTTACATATCAATGAAACAATTTCAAAAAAATATTTATATATTTCAGGAGGGAAAGCTGATGCTGAAGCTTTAGAAATCAATGATACTGTTGCGTTTAAACCGGTTAAACTAGAACCAAATGAAATGGGTAAGTAGGTAGGTAGGTAGATATACTTTTTATTCATTTCATATAAAATTTCATCTTAATTCAATCGATAGATTCGATTCAATACGTCAATATATTTTTTTATTAGGTATAGGAGTCAGTGGCAATAGTAAAGAAGAAACCCTTTCCCATAACAATCCTTCAATGGATGCTCTTAACATGTGTGATGGGAAAGATTTTAGTATTGAAGGAAAAGGTATGACAGTATATACATACTATATTAATTACCATTAAACACAGCTAGATAAGGTAAAATTTTACTAAAGGTAACGCATAATTTCAAGCTTAAGAAGATGTAAAATCTATATCACATTGATGTGAAGCGTGAACCATATTATGTTGCATTTTTGGCCATGAAAAATTTTGATCATCCGACATTGCCTCACAAAATCGCCCCTAACTCAATTAATATTTTACAAGTTCTAATGCTCTTTGAGATAAAATAAAATTGAATTTTTCTAAAATAGTTTTCGAGATGTTGAGTCTTAAAGTTAAAAATTTCTAACATTCAGCCATGCCTTCATTCATGCTCCATATTGTTTAAACTTGTTTTGCATAATTTATTTTTATTCTTTATCACTTTTTCTGAGTGTACTATTCATCTTACCTGTTGCGTGAACGACTTTGTGGAAACTGGAATTTCCATTTAATAATATCACATACTTCAATATCCTGTATCTATATTTTCAACATTACCAAGTACACCCAACTAAACTCAACTCAAATTCTTTATTTTAATGGACGTAGACTCAACTGCAAAGGATGAACTCCGAGGGTTTTTGCGCGTCAGCGCGGGTATGACTTAAAGGGATTCGACAGCCCTGCATCTTAGCCAGTCCAGTGATCTGATGGATCACTGATAATGACTCAGATACAGGTGAGGGAGTTTGTATGGGATGCCAGAGAATGTGGGTTGGAGGGATTTCAAGAATTTACCAAGGGGTTATGGGGGTTCAAAGTAGATCGGCAAATTCTTGGCCGCACGAACTTTCTTGGCCGTGTACTATGGGGTTGTCTAGATCATATCTAGTCGCAGTGAGGCTACGTGTGTGGGGAGCCTTGGATCTGGGATCTGTAAAACTTGTCGCTGACATCATCCAGGTAGTCAGAGATATAGGGAATGTATGCTTGCGCGTGCATGTCTCTTATCCTGGCGTACCTGGACTCTGACAGGACTCCCCTCAGGATTCTGTTTTGGAAGCGCTGGAGGCGAGGGTGTAATCCGAACTGCTCGTTTGGGACTATGGAGAAGTTTTCGATGATCCTGTTGACCCTGGACAGGATTAACTTCTCCACGAGCTTGGCAAAGGAGTTTAGAAGGGAGATTGGGTGGTAAGAGGATGGGAGTGTTAGGTTTTTTCCTGATTTGAGGATCATATTGTCATGTTCTGATGCATTTAAGTTAGAGGATTTGTACTGTTTCTAGCAGACGTGGGTTTTTATTTCTTTATTAAAGCTTTGTGGCCATCTTCGTATTTCATTTACGATACCACAATTATTCGGCGACGAGTAAATCAAGGGTTGATAGTTTGTTTTGTCGACCGAAATTCCTAAATAATTTTAAAAAAATATATTTTTCCGAAAAAGTGTGCTGTTGTGGTATGCTGAATGCTAGAAAAACCAGAAGTTCATCATGGATTTAACCGGTGAGGGCTCACAAATTCAATACCTAGTCAATTATTAATGTTATAAATGCCGGTAATGTGTCCGCTAGTTTGTCAATTTTCAAACAAGGTGATGATTTTGAGATTTTTGAGGAAAGTCTTGGACAATATATTGCAGCTAACATAATAGAAGCAGCAAGGCAAGTTTCTGTATTATTAACATTTTCAAGTGAAGATATTTTAAGATTTTCAGAGATTTATGTAGCCCAGATAAGCCTAGTAATAAATCTTAAGTTATAATGATTTGATGACCATGTTGCGTGAACATTTCAAACCAAGACTGTCTACATACCGTAAAAGAATTATTTTTGATGGCTTGAGACAAAATATAGAGTCTGTGATTGATATGTTAGAGTTAAAAATACAGCAACATAGTGTGATTTTGGTTAGAATTTAATGTATAGAGTTCAAGATAAATTTGTATGTGGAATGAAGCAAGGACCTATTTGACAGATTATGTGAAGCAAAGGTAACAAAACCTTTTAAGGATATTTTGGAAATAGCATTGGATAAAGAAGCAGCTATGAGAAAGCAGGCTCGTAACAGTCGTAACAGCATGGAAGTAAATCGTATCCAGAAGTTTAAATATAAAAACAACAGTGGTAATCGTGAGTTAAAGGAGCCTGTAAAAAAATTTGATAGAAAAGTAGAAAGTGAAGGAAAAAGTGGAAATCAGGGTGAGTTAAGAAGCAACTTTTGTAATAAAACAAACCATAATTTTAGCAATTGTTAATACAAGAAATTCACTTGTAAAAAATGTGGTGACAAAGGACATATTATGGCAGCTTATAAAGGTAAACAAGTAGAAAAAAATTACTTAATTGAGGAGGAGTTAGATGAAAATCCCCTACCATTGTATAATTTAAATGATTCAGAAGATTTTAAAAATGTTAATTTTGTTAAGCCATTATATGTACCAGTTTTACATGACAAAGTGTCAACTCAAATGGAGCTTGATACGGGAGCTGGAACCAGCTGTTTACCATATAAATTTTACAACGAAAAGTTGAGTCATATTCCATTGGAGGAGACTAATGTACGCTTGAGAACTTATTCAGGAGAAATTGTTAGCCCTGAAGGAAAAATTTTGCTCACTGCTACTATTCAAGGTATATCGAAGAGTTGTAGTTTAACAGTTGTTAAAAAAGCATCAAAGATTCTATTAGGTAGAGATATTTTTGCACACAATTTAATTTGTCACTGAGAGACTCTGAAGTTGTTATTAATAAATAAGTTATTCAGAATTCATCAGATAAACGTTATTGTCAAAACATACAAGGTTATTCAAAAACGAGTTAGGGACATACTTAGGGGAAAAAGTTAAATCAGAAATAGCGGAAAATGTTAGATCAATTTTCCATAAACCCCACCCTATACCTTTTGCATTTCGAGAAAAAGTTGAATCTGAATTGAAATGTTTGGAGTCTAGTGGGGCAATCGAAAAAATTGATACTTCTAGTTGAGGAACGCCATCAGTAGGTACCTGCAATGAAACCCAATGGCAAAGATATACGAGTTTGTGCAGATTATAAAATCACTGTGAATAAATTTTTAAAAGATTTCAACGATCCGCTTCCACTGATTGATGACATTTTTGTAGCTCTGCAAGAGGGTCAAAAATTCACAAAATTAGATTTTCTCAATGCCTATAATCAATTAGTTTTAGAGGACGAAACGAGTGAGTTATTAGCCCGGAGCACACTACTAGGAATCTATAAGGTATAAAGATTACCATTTGGTACGAAGTTTGCATGCGCTATTTTTCAAAATATTGTGGTAAAAGTTCTACAGGGATGTGCAGGGACCGTAAATTTTTTGGATGATGTAGTTGTGACTCGGAAGGATGAGAATGAATATCTGCGTAATTTAGAGGAGGTTTTAGGAAGATTAAACAGGGCCGGATTCAGATTAAATGCTAAAAAGTGTGAATTTTTCAAAGACCATATTATTTCTTATTTAGGGCATAAAATATCAGCTTTAGGGTTAGAGAAAAATGAAGAAAAAGTTAGGGCCATAGTCAATTCTCCTGGGCCTAAAAATATAACTGAAGTTAGAGCTTGGTGTGGCATGATTAATTATTATTCACGGTTTCGTGAAGATCTTCAAGCCAAATTGAAACCACTCCATGGGTTAGTAGGCAAGGGTAGTGAGTTGAATTAGTCGCGAAAATGCCAAGAAGCCTTTAATTTTGCAAAACGAGAGTTTTGGATAAAGTTTTGGTGTATTATGATTCAATTAAATTGTTACGTTTAGCTTGCGATGCAAGTGACTGTGGTGTTTTGTTACATGTCATGTCTGACGGATCAGAAAAACCAATTTGTTATATTTCTCGTGTTTTAAGCAAAGCTGAACAGAATTATCCCATGATCACGAAAGAGTCATTAGCAGCCCAGCCAGCAAGGGTACGTCATATTGACGTCCTTATATGGTGATAATTCGTCAATACTCGTCACCTGACCAAAAACTGACGACATATTGACGTGTGATAAATGCCGTTCAAATGACGTGCTTTTTATCACGTAATATTGACGCGTTTTTCTGGTGATAAATGTAATACACATTGACGTCAATATATATCATGTAATATTCACGTATTTTGCTTGTGGTTCAGTAAACCTGGTTTTTTGAATTAGTTTTTTTTTTTCAATGTGTTTTGAATGTATTCCTAGAATTCCTAGGGTTGTGCCGTGTATACTGTATTCTATAGTGAATAGGAGACAAAGTGATGATACAAATCATTATTTTTTTTCGCATTTGTAACTACTCACGAAAATTTTGATCGAATCGAATGCGAATAATACCCCTACCCTCGCATTTTTTCGACATCCTGTTTTTTAATTTTTACTACAGCAAAACTTTGATGCGTTTGAAAACACATCTTTGAATAAAAATTAAATGGAAAACTCCCATAGTTCATACTCATAGTTCCATCTCTGACTTTCAAATAGTATAGAAATAAACGGTAGAAACTGTGGAAAGGCCAGAAAGGGGACGTATTTGGTTTGTTTTTGTGTTTGGTCAACGGTTTGGTGAATGCGGAAATTACTGTATTCCTTTTATACATCGAGTGACACCGAACAAACACCGAACGAAAAACGTTCAAGCTTCTGACTTTGAGCAGCTCCGAGTAACTCAACGGGAAAAAGGAAAAGAGTAAATACAAATACACTCACTCCTGTATTTTTTTTGTTTCGAAATTCTAGCATTAGTTTAGTATTAGTAAGGGACAACAATAAATATTGCATCGCCGCGTGGGGAAACGAATATGCTATTCAGCGAATTCTATTGGTAGAATTAACCAGTGCAGAAAAATGTTTTTTTATCTCTTTCTTATAGAAGTCGGTAGAAAAGACACGAACACACTCAGTGCGCACTAACCCTTCCAATTCGCTACTGTGTGTGTGACTGTTGACGTTGATTGTTGTGAGGGAGTTTGTTGAGGTTATGTTGTGGTTGTAGCATGGCGTGGTCGTGTTTCATTTGGTTTTCCCTCGCTTTTTGCTTTCTCATTTCCCTCCAAGTTTCCCTCATT